AATCCCTTGTCCCAAGCCGCTTCCCGCAGCCCCCATTGGCCTGGAGCAGCGAACCGCGGCCAGTGGGAGCCGCGATCGGCCGAACCTGCGGACCCGGCAGGTAAACAAACTGGCCTGGCCCTCCAGGGGCTTTTCCTACACAAGCGGCGGCCCCAGTTTCAGAACCACTGAACAAGCTGTTTAAAAAAAAAATCAAACAATTTAGCGGCTGATTCAGTAAACAAGTATGGTTTCTTCCCTCTGCAGAATGGCAGGAACCTGCTGCACTGCGCAGCTCAGAGAGGTCACATCAAGGTGATGGAGTTCATTATGGAGGACCTGGAGGACGTGCATGTGGATAAGACAGACAAGGTAGCAAGATGCTGGACCACTTTCAGTTTCCTAGGGCCTGATCTTGCTCCATTGACATTAATGGGAACATTCCCATGGACTTCAACAGGAGCAGGATCAAGTCCTCGGGGCCAGATTTTGCGCTCAGATGCACACAGAGGGCAAATCTGGGTTGCGGCTTTAAGAAGAACATATCAGGGTTGACCCAGATTCTTGATACCTTTACTCATGTTAAATAGCACCTCGCTTTAACAACACTGTACAGCTAGTAAAGTCAATGACACCACTCATGGAGTAAGGTACTAGTCAACATGGGCAAGTGAGAAGACCAGGCTTCAATTCCCAGATCTGCCACTAGTTTGTTGGGTGACCCTGGGCAAGTCACTTCCCTCTCTGAGCCTCAGTTTCCTCATCTGTAAAATGAGGATAATGATACTGACCTCATTTGTGAAGTGCTTGGAGATCTATGGATGAAAAGTGCTATGTAGGAGCTAGGGATTATTAATATTAAGGGTATCACACTCCAACCTCTGGTTCTCAAGCAAAGGCCTGCAGCAGGAGGTGAATCTTCCGTCCCATCTCCATGGTGATTTGACTCTGGCTCTAGTCAGTAGAGAAGTCTACAGCCAAGAGTCCTCAGCTAACGCCCTCTCTCCCACACTAGTCCCTTGGAGTTTCAATCCAGGTTCCATTAATTGAAGCCTGCTCCCCTAACATAGCTGATGCAGTGGGGACTGGGTAATAGTTTCCTTTTCTTATTATTATATCTCCCACAGGTCTTTTACTGATTAATTGCTGCCGATGCGTTCAAGTGGCAGGCCTCTTTTTCAATCTGTTAATAAAGAAAGCGCTTGCATTCACAAGGCAGAACTCCAGCCCCACATCCTGCCCTCCTGCACGCAGAATCCTCACTGATGTCAAGAGCAGCCCTTTCTTCCCTTACCACACACTTCCTGCAGTGATCCATTCGCTTTGCTGCTCAGAAAAAGTGGGTCGAACATGCAAATTACCTTTAGCCGAAACCTTTATTAAAATAAATGACTCACCAGATAACTGATGCTGCAGATCGTTTTCCTTTTCTCTTTTTTAAACTGTAGTTTCCTGGTGATAAACCTTTTACTTTCCCCTCTTCCTGTAAAATAAATACTGAGATTAACTTGCCATTTTATTGTGCCAGATGAAACCAAAGTACACCAAACTGTTCATACCTGGGGGTGGTTCAGATCAGCTTGTTTCTATAGGATCACCTCCAAATTTAAAACAAAAAACGTTTTGCTCTTGCTGGTTTATACTATTACCTTTGAAGTACAGCACTAATACCTGGGGGTTGAAATACAACCAGCCTGTCAGGATGTGAGTATTCACAAAGACATTATTTTGGGGCCTTTAGCAAAAATCATGGTGTTTGTGCTTTCCCAGTTTTCCACATTTCTTCTTTCTTTCTTTTTTCTTTTACCTAAAGACGGACAAGACGGCGTTTCATCTGGCTGCAGAGCACGGGAGGTTAGAAGTGGTGGAGTTCTTGATTGGGTCAGGTTGTAGTCACAGTGTTAAAGACAAGGTATGGAAACCAAAAGCCGTTGAACAGGGCCAGAGAAATGTAACCATGGACTAGATGGTTCAAGGGACTGTTAATGGGATACGGAGCTGGGGGGCTGGCTGAAATCTAGCACAGGTGGGTTGTGAGCATAAGCTCATCAGCTGGTCGCACAGTGGTCTGCAGTGTCTTGCCAAGGAAATTTCCCCCCGTCTGTTTGCCCTCCAAGTACACCACCGTAGTGGGGCAAGGACAGGGTTGACACTCTTCCCTGAGCTTTCTGGATGTCATAACTCTAAGATACATTGCAATGAAGCTGCAGCCTGACTACCGGAAAAAGCCGTCCCATTGGCTTGTCGCGGGTAGATGGTAGGCCCCTAGTAGGGAGAAGGACACTGGGATTTCTATCCTTGGGCCCAGACTGAGAGGAATGACAGATGAAAGGATCATCAGTTCAGTCATCTAGATCAAGGAACGTACATGCTCCTACCATTTTCTGAACATTAGGGGCGCTCCTGTATTATGGTGATGGGAGGTGTCTCAGTAACTAGACAGATAAAGGAGACAGAAGACATTTGCCCCATTCAGAGAAGGTCCATGAGACCCATGCACCATCGTTCTGTAGTGTGAAATCTGAGGCATTACTGACACTACAGTGATAACAAGATCCTACAGCAATGGGGGACTGATACATGTGTTCCATAACAGTAATAATTAACATAAGTTTTCGTGGGCTACAGCCCACTTCATCGGACGCATAGAATGGAACATATAGTGAGGAGATATATATACATACAGAGAACAGTCTCCTAGACCTCCCTTTGATGTACTAAAGCATCTTTATCAGAATTTGATCTTTTTTTTCTTAAATGATGATTAACACATAAGACACTGACTACAGGATTTGCGGTCAGACTAAATCACCCTAAATATTGGTTTGCAGAGAGTTGCTTTGTCTGAGTATTCGATCATGCAGTTTATTTACACACAAAGCAATGTTTATTTGCAGGAAAAGAACACAGCCCTACATTTAGCTGCTAAAAATGGGCACCCCACGGTGCTGCAGAAGATTGTAGAAATTGGACTGGACCTAGAAGAAAAGAACATGGTGAGTGCAAAACAAACCAGACCAGAACGTCCCTTTCATCCTTAGAGGTGATCTCCCACACCAGCTGATTTAACCAACCCTACTGGCCAGGACTGATGGGGACTGTATCTAGAACAAGTTTATGTAGCTATCTGGTTTTATTTAAAATGCACTGATCCAAAGTGCTGGGCATGTATACAGAATATCGGTGAAAGACAAAATACCTGTTGGACCAACAGCCAAGACCAAAATCCCTCATTGTGACACTTGTTTATCTTCTCACCCCTGCATATTCGGGATGCCTAAAAAGCTAATGAATTTTGTTTTAAAATAAATCTTGCTGAAACAATGTTGCCTTAGTCACTGAACAAATCACCCTTCTATCTGAGATCTTTCTCTCTACAACTGAACAACGGAAGAGTCTGAGATTGGAACATAGTTAAGGCTTTCTGGTTTTTTGAGGTTTATGCATTTCATTTTGGGTGTTTATTTTCTTAGCAATTTTTGATTTTTATGTAATGTCCAAAAATCAGGGGAGATTCAGGGCTTTCTCTTTGTATATACAGTGTAATGAGTAATCTCTTTGTAGTGTTCTCTAGTGCAATGACATAGTACTGTTTCAAACAGCACTATGTTAAAGCATGTTAGGGAACCTTTAGTGCACGCCAGCAGGGTCTACATGGACCAATTAATGTGCAACACATTAGGGTGCTTCAGAAATCATGCTCCCATAGTCCGCGTTACTGCTCCATGTAGACAAGCCCTTAGCTACAAGGGTTACCATACGTTCGGATTTTCCTGGACATGTCTGGCTTTTTGGTCCTCAAATCCCCGTCCGGGGGGAATTGCCAAAAAGCCGAACATGTCCGGGAAAAGGCCGTCATCCCTGCTCCAGTCCCCTGCTTACCTGAGCGGCTCCGGCAGGCTGCGAGCTGCAGGTGGATTCCCCGCTGCGGCGGCGGCTGCTGCTGCTCCCCCCAGACACCTCAGCTCTGTGTAGCTGAAGAGCCGAGCTGCCCGAGCGCTACCGGCTTCACGGTTTGCCGGGCAGCCCCCAGACCCGCTGCGCCCCTGG